CTTATCACTTTGTTGAAAGTTTGTCGCCAATAATGAATTCAGTGGTAGTAAAGCACAGCAATTGTGGTTGACTTGGAGTCAATATAATTTGGCTTTTTTAAAAAAATTAATTTCCATCGGCTTATGGTTCCATCCAATCAATTGTTACCGAAACATCAATTCTTGCCGACAATATGTAGAATAGTATAATCTAACGAAAAAATTTCAGAAGTATAACTATATATTTTTCATTTTAATAAGAATGAGATATTAAATAGAAGCAAGGAAAATTTGCTGAAAAGTTACTTATCTAGGTAGATTTTGATTAAAATGACTTGAATTCAGTAGGCAAAACTCATCTTCAACATATGAGTGTAATTTTTCTTCAGCTATGCAACATGTATTTCTTTTAGTACTTAGTTAAAAGAGTTGCAATGAGTTGCAGCTAGATCTTTAAACAAATTTCAAATTCTTTTGGTGATAATATTTCAGATAGGTACTTCTCGCTAATTTTTCCTAGAAACCATTGCAAATGTAGTTTTCTCATAATTACTATTTATTAGATTATATAAATTCAATTTTTCGTTTCTATTTAAGTGTATTCTTTTTAACTATATACATGTGTGTGCTAGAATGAAGCAAAATTCCTCTTGTCATCATCATGTTCTTCATCTTCGTTGAAAATTCTTGTGGCATTTATTAATGGGCGGTGGTGGTGGTGGAATTGCACAAGGCATTGACTCCAAGTCAACTGTTATTAATAATATCTTTAATCATCAATCACTCACGGGCAGTCACCAAAATCTGTCCTAGTCAATCCTTATATAAATTATATAGAATTGAGTTGGGCAAATTTCAAAAGTTGGAAAGAACTTTATTATTTATTGGCCACTGCACACAAAAAGTTTCATTGGCTCTATTTTTTAAAAAAATTTTACTTTAAAATTCTAACAAAAATTCACAAAAATGTAAAAGCAAATCTCATTTATATTTTTATTGTGTTACTCTTACTATTGTCTCCCACATCTTAACGATCCCCTTCAGTGGAGATTTAAAATACTATTTCCTCCAATCATAAATATAAAACCCATTTTGTAATTTAAATTACACTACAAAATGGGTCTTATATTTAGGATCGGAGGAGTATTAAGCTTTCTTTGCAGTTATACACTTCGAAAAGAATTTCGTTTACATTTGATGTAATTTTAGTTCCTCAAAATGGATAGTCCCTGCTTCAAAAAATGAGTTCGTGAAGAGTGAGCCAAGCTTCAGAACAGGGAAGCCATTCGCATATATGTAGGCCTTTGCAGTTTCTTTTTATCCATTTTATTCAAAAGGAATAATTCTTCAAGAACTTAGATTATGATATATAGCTTTAGCCAACCATGTGGCTATGAAATACTGGACAACAATTTTTTTAGGTTGTTTATAGCCACTGGCAAAAACGTAGAACTTATTTATAATTGTTTAGAATTTTTTTCATGGATAACTATCTATGATCCTATTTTGGAAATTTACACTACAAGAAGGAAAGACTACCAAGCTAAACACAAATTTACGTCTAACACAGCTAATTATATCCATCTGAACTTCACTCTATTTCTGAAATGGCAGATAACTCTGGTTCCAATCGCCTTACTCCATTAACAGCTCTTTGTTCTAATTGCATGTGAAGAACCAAAAGGGTTAGGAGGCATGATTAGCTTTTCATCGTCCCCTTCCAACATTTGAACCACATTTTTCATGGTTGGACGGTTTGCTGGATGCCACTGAATACACCAAAGTCCAATAATGGATAGCTTCCTTGCAATTTTAGTGTCCTCCTCTCCTTCCACATGGATTTGTATGTCTTCATTGTTCTCTAGAAGATTATAAATCCATTGTGGGTAGTAAACTTGCTCGCCATTTTCTTCTGTGAAATCTGTGATTTTCCTTCCTCCAACCATCTCAAGCAGTAACATTCCATAGCTATAAACATCTGATTTATAAGACACATTGCCAAAGTTCCGAGAAAATATCTCCGGTGCAATATAGCCCAAAGTGCCCCTGGCTGTTGTCATTGACACAATGCTTTGATCCTTAGAACAGAGTTTGGCCAAACCGAAATCAGATATTTTTGGAGTAAATTTGTCGTCTAACAGAATGTTGTGAGGTTTGATATCAAAGTGGAGGATCCGTTTGTCACAGTCTTCATGAAGGTACTCAATTCCTTTGGCTATGCCAAGAGCAATATCATGAAGCTTTCCCCATCCCAGGAAAAGGTCCTTCCTATCAGCTGAAGTTATGAATTTCTGCAATGAACTATTGGGTAAAAATTCATAAACCAAAGCTCGTTTGAATCCATCCGCACAGTAGCCAACCAAGCGAGCCACATTGACATGGTGAATTTGACACATGGTCTCCATTTCATTGATGAACTCTTGTCCATTCCCAGTTGAAGTGTTGAGAAGCTTCACAGCCACCTGAATCTCATTAGATAGCTTCCCTTTAAAGACAGTTCCGTAAGCTCCTTGTCCAAGTTCATCCTTGAACTGATTAGTGATCCTCTTTATATCTGCATACGAGTATCTAGCAGGCCTAAGTGCTTTGTAATCCTCCAAAAACAGTTTAATTTTTTTGTAACCCTGCCTCTCTAGGCTAGCTGCAGTAACCCAATAAACAACAAACCCAACAAACATGAGCAGGAACGGGCCTAGGATTTCACCTGCAAATATAGCGACATATACAATATGTATTAAATTCATTTGGGAACTTTTATGTTCAATTTTTATGTGAAATGATGAATTGTTGGCTGAAGAATCCTTACCAGTGAGTACTATTTGTTTTGATGGACCTGCTAAAATAAACTTTATATCAGCTTCACATACAAATAGATTTTATACTCTGTTTATGAAGGTATTATAATCGGAGAAAAAATTATACCTGTATGAGGGTTTTGGAAACATTCAGGTTCACGTTCAACTTTGTTTTCTGTCAATCTACACTGCCCTCCATGGTCCTCACACTTTCTGCAATCTGGTTCGAGCCAAGATAGATATATAAGCTCATTGTGATAGAAAAATGAATCGGGGACTGATGCATAACCAGGAATTCTCGTGCATGATAGAAGAGGATAGTCTATGATATCCGCTAAGTATGGTACAGCTAAAACCTCATAGCCGGCAACATCGAGACAAGAGAAGTTTCCCAATTTTGGAAATTGATTTGAATCTCTACGAGACGTCCCTGAGCAATTGAATATCGCATTTCGGCTTGAGTCATAATAATCATTTGACCGAAAAGGCGATGCAGATAAATTGAGATGAGCAAGGCATCCATCAGGGTCAGACACAGCAAAGAATTGTTTTTTATAGTCAATGTCGCGTACGATAACCTTGACAGAGAAGGGCAGCTCGAGCACCGTGTGGTTTGTTTCATTACAGTAAAGATCAAAGCCAGGATTATATGCACACCATTCTGGCTGTTTTCCTTTGAGCCTAAAGGGGAATCGAATGGCAGGTCCATCAACCCCGCAACTTGTTACCGTGCATGGATCAGGGAAGTGTGGTTGAGTGAATGTAGTCAAGACGCAGAAGAAAAAGAATAGGATGGCCAATCGGCTATGCCGTTTCATTGTTCAGAACAATGTTTAGGTACGATGCTAATATTCGAAATCTAAGACACAATTTGCGTGAGTTTGAACGATAGAAATGGGAAGCAACCACCCTCTTGATATTTTGGAGGAACCATTGCTCCTATTTACTGGAAAATTTCCACCAAAAATGGGAACGGAACCAAATTTCAAAGCTTTCATTGTCTGTTTCCTCAGTATAGGTCCACTGGCATTTCATTGGTTGGTCGTTTGGTAGTTATCTTTGACTATGAAGGCACCCATGAATTTTATCTTTATGTCAAGCTGCCTCATAATTTTTTTCGGATTAGCCACCTAACTCCTTTTAATAAGTTGTCTCATAACTGGATTGCTTACACAAATTCTCAAGACTTTTTGTATTGCTTACTTCCAAACCTTCACTTCATGAATTGTAATTTATTATATTCTGTTCCCTCTGCTCTTTAGCTGCTTCCTCCTCTAATTTAAGACAAAAGTACACGAAAAAAAAATTACGTTAGGTTATTATAAAATTTTTTTATAGTGTTGGATGTATCAACCTTTTGAAAGTTAATGACAAAAATAAAATAACTCCTAAAACATACTTTAAAGGCAAAATTGAATGATAAAATACTTCAAGCACTTGGGGGAAAAAAATACTGTATAATGTTGGATGAATTAAAAAGAGCATCATCAATTGAAGATAAAAATAACAAAATTATGTAGATTAGAAAATTACTTAAAATTGGTGAAAAGCACTAAAACCTTAGGCACAATGGAGGGAGAGAGTGAAGAGAGAATAAATAGGAAGAGAACTTACTCCTCTATTGTCTTTAATATAAGATCTACTTAATTAATTTATGTAAGTTGAGAAAGTTAGATAGATTAGTTAATTATAACAAGTGTGACATAATCTCTTTAAAATATCCTTATTTAATATTAAATTATATATTAGTTTATAAGTTAGATAAATTAATTTGAAGAAATCAAAAAATGATAAATATGATAAACACAGTAAGCGAAAATTTCAGACATCCTTTTAAGTATATCTTATAAATGATATCATGTCAACTCACAAATCACCAGTGTATTTTAATGGAAAATTTTAAATTTTAAGACATGATTATAAGAATAACCTAACTTTCTTAAACTGTCTGAGTTGATTGAAATTATATTTGAAGATGGAAGGAGTATACTAGAATTAACTTCCAAGAAATTGATCAATTCATGAACGCAATCAATGAGAGTCGGACTTTTCAAGGTTATTAGAAAAGGGGCAAGAAGAAACTACTAGTTGTTCACACGTCTTTAAATTGTTGATTGGCACATAGCATTGACTCCAAAGTCATCTATCATCGAAGTGTTATCTATTATCATACATGCTTTTGAGAACTATCACCGCCCTGTAAACACCTTTCCCAGATCCTTCACAATGATAACGCAAACCGTCATCTTCCTTACCCTTCTTATTCCTTGTTATTGGCTAGTGTTTGGTTTCTCATCAAAACCATATTTTGAAGATATGCAATTTCTTATGTATAGATATTCCTATAATCGCAATCCCCAAGTGATCAGCGATCCCAGTTACGAACTAGTCTGTGAGAAGAACAAGAGCGTGTTATATCTGAACTATGGGAGGCAACTAGTAGAGGCCATTTATGCCACTAACTCTACCACCACTCTCCAATCCATCACTGCTGGAAATGACATCAACAACTACTCCGCTATCACTCGTACATACGACAACTTCACCCACGTTTTCTCATCAGCAAAAGAGATGGAACTGAGAGACAAAAATTATCGTATTTTTGTGGGTGAATTAGTGTTTGTCAGCTGCAAAAATCCAGTTCTCTCTCATCTGTATGAGAATATTGTGGCGCTTTGTTCTACTGAAGAGCCAGAAGCGCAATATTCTTATATGCTGAAGCAGTATCCAAGTCCATCTGATGTGGGAGAGTCCTGCAAAATAGATTTGATGGTGAAAATGGTGCCATGGGGACCGATGACATGTAATGAGAAATGTTCATATCAGAAACATGAGAGTGAAGTGGTAAAGGGGATTCACATCAAATGGCGTGCTGATCGTTGTGGAGTGGCGAACGGAGGGGAACCTAGTTGCTGGTTTGAAAATGCCACTAATATGATTCTCTGTCATCGGGATGCACTAAATCCTGATTTTGCAATGTTCATTGGTGAGCTTCGTGGATTTTTATCTCGGTATTCTAATGAAGAAAAGCAATTATTGTCATGATTAACATACTGAAATTAATTATATTTTTAATCTGAATTTTGACAATGCAGACTTCTCTTGGAGGTACTTGGATACAGGTATGTGCCAATCAAGGTTTTCTCCTTGCCAGAAAATTTTCTAGTTCTTTTTTTCCCCCATTTGTTTAGACAATTTAACGCACACCTCTCTCTCTCATAGGGGAGGGAACCAGACACCCATCGCATCTATCCCTATTTTAACAACATGTAACATAGAACCCACAACCTCCTTTATGAGAGAGATGGGAGGTCCTTGTGAGTTAGGCTTCGGTAGATGGCCGAAACTTTGTGAACCGACCAATTGTGGTGTGGATAAAAAAAAGTTTTCCTTTCTGGTAAAACAAATAAAACATGTTTAAGCTCTTATATTAGGATCGAGAAGGAGTAAGTAACCACTTTAAGATCCAAGAAACAAATTTTTAAGGTGTTCATCTTACAAGGACATTAAAAAGACAAGTCTTATCAGTTAGACATATAAATATAAACGTGTGAATCTAGTTTACTTAGGATGCAATGAATTCTTACTCTCATGCTGTGATCACTACCTAATTCAGGTCTCAGTCATTCTATTTATAAATCTTTTAGTTTTAAATTAACCCCTCAATCCATGTAATCTCACCAATTTCCAGTAAGTCCATGTAGTTTCCCCTTTTTATCAGGTACTCATAATTTCCTCAGTTACAGCTATAGCATTTTCCCCTCCTTTTTGTTACATCCCTATTGTTATTGATCCTATGGACTGTGGTATTAGTTTTTCTTCTGACCATTTATCTATTCCAAATTGTTTGATGTCAGATAAAGAATGCAATTCATCACTTGCATTTAACATTCAAAAGTAAATTATGGTTTTATTAAAGCCCAACTCCAGGTATATAAATGAGGAACTGACGAGACTTTGTAACTCTAACAGGAGAAAGGAGGAAAGAGAGGGAAGGAGAGAGAGTTGAGAGACGAACAGAAACAAATGGAGAGGCGAAAGTAATAGCAAACAGAGAAACTGAGAGATGCACTGAGTTACTTCACTGATGTTTACAAATCATAATATGAATACAAAGTAGGCATATATCCTATTTATAAACTCAGTATCTCTCAATTAACACACAATCATCTTTCTAGCTAACTTTATCACTCCTATTTACACTACCTACGTAATAGCAATTACACAGCAAATTATCCCTTTTGAGAATCTCAACTGTACATTCGCATAAGAATCAATAGGAATCGTCCATTTTTTCACGTGGTTATTTGACCGGGTCAGATTAGGGTATTATCAAGCTCAATCAAGAGTAGCTCACCCAAAGGCGTTTCTTACTTTTACATGGACTTGAACTCAAGAGTTCTTGCTTAAGCGACCACAAATCTCCTTTCTACCAGGAACGAATCCTATTGATATGTGGGAATTGCCCCATTTAGGATTGCCAATAAGGGATCTATAGCTTAAATCCAATTCTATCTAATATCTATCATATATCGAACATGCAGTTAGTAATGGAAATTATCCTTTGGCACCCCCAGCCACAGCATAAAAAATTTAATGGGAAGTCCTCATTTTGGGGACCCCAACACAGAGTTCCATGCATATACCAACTTCAAGGTACCTAAACAAAGTATATCGACGAGAACTACTTCTTTAGGAAACCCCAACCATATTCAAGATATAACTTCAATTATGATGGATGCAGTTACTCAGCCAGACGTTAACAACCAAAAAGTTAAAAATGCACAAGAATAAAGAAAAACAAGTTGGGGATCAGAAAGTGCCTAACCCTTCATGAAATTGTTTAAACATTTACTACCATCAGTAAGAAATTTCCCTTTCAACGTTTGGGAGGGGAAAACATTCGACAACGCTGACATTTATGCAAGTGAAATTAATTGAAATTCTCTGGAAATTTTGTTTTATGTTGCTTCATTTTCTTCTCAGTTATTTTTTTTCCCTCTTTTTTTGCCCGCAGTTGCCTATTGGTTTGCAGCAAAATTTGCTTTGGGATTCCCAATTTTTGTGGGGTTTCTAATATATAATATGAGAAGGAGGCATTTATCTGAGTATGATGACATTGAGGACTTCCTACGAAGTCACAGCAATTTAGTGCCCATCAAATACTCTTACTCTGACATAAGAAGAATGACAAAAAATTTCAAGCATAAGTTAGGAGAAGGGGGTTATGGTTCTGTATATAAAGGAAAGCTTCGAAGCAAGCGTGATGCGGCTGTTAAGCTATTAGGCAAGTCAACAACGGATGGGCATGATTTCATCAATGAAGTTTCCACCATTGGAACTATTCGTCATGTAAATGTGGTGCAACTGATAGGATTTTGTGCAGAGAGAAGAAAGCAAGCTCTTGTTTATGAGTTCATGCCAAACGGATCTTTAGATAAATACATACTTTCTGAGCATGAAAAATCATCAATAAATTATGAGAAGATCAATGAGATTTCTTTAGGGGTGGCTCGTGGGATTGAGTACCTACATCAAGGTTGCGACAAGCAAATCCTACACTTTGATATCAAACCTCACAATATTCTTCTTGATGAGAATTTTTCTCCCAAGATTTCAGACTTTGGATTGGCAAAACTATATCCAACAGATAAAAGTATTGTGTCTCTAACTGCAGCTAGAGGCACAATGGGATACATGGCTCCTGAATTGCTGTATAAAAACATTGGAGGCATCTCACACAAGGCTGATGTTTATAGTTTTGGGATGATGCTGATGGAAATGGCAGGAAGAAGAAAGAACTATGATGTTGTGCAGAATTCGTGGCAGACTTACTTTGCGAAATGGGTTCATGATCAGTTTGAAGAAACAATATTTAAAAGCAATGCCACAGAAGAAGAGAAGAAGATAGCCCAGAAAATGATTACAGTTGCTTTTACTTGCATACAGCTGAGCCCAAGTGATCGCCCCTCAATGAGCAGAGTAGTGGAGATGCTTCAAGGAGATGTTGATGTCTCAGAGATCTTCAGAGCATAGTACGAGAGACAGTTCGATTTTAACATAAGATGTGTAAACAAGTTCTTATAATTAGAATCAAAGGTAGTATATATCAATCTAAGAAATATTGTAAACCTAACTCTAGATCATTTTCTTATGGTTTGAAAATTTTCACGCATTAGTTTTGCAGTGTACGATTCAAAAATAAAGGAATCACCCCCAACCCACCAGGTTATGGATCAATGCATTACACATATTTCTTAATTTGCGGCATTATGAAATGTTCCCAAATCCTTTCACAGTAAAAATCAAAATCAGCTCTATGGAAATGAATAAAGTAATCAGCAAAAAACGCTCACCTGTTCCAGGGCGTTGATGGCAAACTAGGCAATGTACAGCTGTTCGATTCGTAGCTAGGGTTTAATCAGGTTCTTCCAAGTTGGCAATCGCTTGAAATGACCTGGTAAAAAGAGCATTGTCCCAAATCCTTTTTCCCGCCACTTCATGGAAGCAATGCTCTTTCCTCCGTATGCTAGAACGAAGACCCCAACGACAAAGGAAAACTGGTGCGACGTTTCCCAAAAAGGGGGGAAAAAAGGCTAATGCGAAGGGAGGCTCTTTATGCATACTGACTAATTGGGCTTCCTTTTCTAGCCCCAAATCAAAGATCCAAACGTGCACATGAGTACCTGTCATTTGTGGTCAGCCTAATCAAAGAACCTCACGGGCCTTGCACAGAGAACTGTAAATATATGAATTCCGAGAAGCTTCATGTTCCAGACTAAAACATACAGGATACCGGGCATTCGCGTGGCATCGGCGGTGTTCACAACTGGGGATTGAGCTGTTGCTGGTCATTTTCTTCTTCTTTTTAATCGTCTTGTCTTTGTTTAGAAACTTCTGCGTTCTGCTATGAAATTAAGCTGGGGATTGCTAATAACATGAAACTAAGCATTCGCGGGGAAAAAATTCGAAGGAGGCAATAATGTTTATGTGTTATTCTGGTTTTCTGAGTATAATTTACGTAGGAAACAATGTTAGGGCAACAAACATAGTTGAACAATACAATTTTACGAGTCCTGATTGACCCTATGCATAATGCGTTCATATTGATTTCTTGTTGCCTCGTGTAAAATTAACTTCTTGTTGGCTTGTCTGGAATTTTCTCTCAAGGGTCATGTATTAGCTAAATAAGCCCTTTGTATGTAACTTGTGCTTTCCAGCGGATCTATTGGTTGATTCGATAGAAATATATGTGAACCAAGTTCAGTTAGAGTCCTAGGATTCCCATCCCTATTCATCATCTTCTATTCCAATGTAAGATAATTTACCACGAAGAATTCATCTCTTTTTTTTGGGGGGGGGTTGTAAAACTGGTGAGTAACTACCATTAGATTTGTTCAACTTAGAGCTTGTATGTGTGTAATATGAAGAATGAGAATGCTCATATGTCTTTGTATGTGTTTGGACTCGTAGCTTGTGAGAGAGAAGGGGGTAGAAGATGAGATGACAGGCCTGTTCATGAAAGGCGAAACTACAGTGACAATCTGAATGAACATTCTACCTTGGGGGCATCAGTCTCCCCTGCATGGCACCATGTTTTAGGTGTACTTGATTTCAGGTAACTAGTACTCCCTGTTTCAGTCTGATGGAGAAAGCTTCTGTTTTGGAGAAAAGGGAAAATTCCATCAAAGAATGAAATTGCAAAGGGCATGCGAACCAAAAAACGTGGGCATCATCGGCTAATTACAACAAAAGAAAATATGAGTAAGTTAGAGACATCAGAAGAAGTTCAATATGTCAATAGCCCCTCTAGTGGGATCGGATGGTTCTCTAACAAAGCATATGATCTCAAATGATGAAGATGTGATGCTACTATAACCACGTTGGTTTCGAGAACCCCACGTTGCTAATTCAACAGATGTAAGAATTCTGGTAGAGAGAGCACGTGTGTGTGTGTGTGTGTTTTTTTTTTTTAATTTGCTTTGGTTGCTGAAATGAACATTCATTGTCTCTGCAACTTTCTATATTGTCACGCCTAGTTCACATCTGCTGTCACTTGTGTCTAAAGTGACAATGATTGGCTGATCAATGTGCGTGTGTGCTAATTCTTGTTACTGGCATCATCCTGAATGCTGATTACATCCTTGTTAATTGAAGTAAAGGCATTTTTGCCATGGGCGTAAAATTAAAACATAATGAACTACGGGTTACTCAAGAAGTTTAACTTTCAAGTGCGCAGAACTTCGTATTATTAATGGGTATGGTCTTGTCTTAATAACAAGTAGCATAAACATGTTGATACACTAGAACTTGTCATTATGCATGCTACTCATTTGTTGTAATTACATTCCTTTCTTATGGTCTCATAGTGAGTTTTTCTATTATTAATGGGCATGAACCAAGAAGGAACCACCATCTTTATATCCTGAGAAATTTTTGTGTGACACTACATGTTAACTTGTTGTGTGTGTTCTTTCACCTCTTATTTCCTTTCAACTTCATTTATTTAACCAAGCCTGGATGAATGGCTATTGGACAATTATATTAGGTTCCATGTCTTCTCATATGCTTTTAAACTTGCAGAATATTAAACATTTACATCATTACATCATTGATCAGTGAATCCAAATGGCTGGAACTGCTAGCTCTGAGTCGAAGACCACATTATAGGCTCACCTTATTTACCGGTGTAAGAAATGCCGAAGAATTGTAGCTTCAGATGAGAATATTGTTTCCCATAAGCGTGGAAAAGGAGAAGCAAGTTTCAAATGGAGAAGAGAAATGAGAACACAGAAAAGCAACCAGTGGACTGTACCTCAGTACTTGTCCAACCCATGAAGTGGATGCAAACAGGTTTTTGGGTTACTTCAACTGGGCAGGTATGCAGTGTAGCTGCGGAGCGTGGGTGAATCCTGCATTTCAGCTGCATAAATGTCGTTTAGATGAGTGCTATATATGACTCAATCACTTCTCAGCTTCCCCACAATCCACATCTGAGGCTTGGAAAAACTTGATAGTAGTAATACCTGAACATCAGTAAAGAGCTTTTCCTTATGGTTTATGGGAACTTTAGCATATGGAGTTTTGTACAGATTTGGTCTCCTGCACCACCATAATAGAAAAAAGTTAGTGCACATTTTTTTGAGCAATTGAAATCTAATTTAGACATTCAAAAGTTATTATTACTATTTTATTTTAGAATATAGCATAAGTTTCCCGGCATGCCTTTTTCTTTTTTTGGGTGAATCGGCATGCTTATTATTCATGAATTCTGTGTCTTTTGCTGTATTTTTCAACCTTGAGAAAACCATTTTGCAGATGCCTCTGTTTTCCTTCAATATTCAATTTGGTACCCATGTTTTCTTCTCGTTTTATTAAATCATTCAATTTTGCTTTATTAGTACTGTTAACGAAGCTATAAAACTTAACGGTTTTAACGGAACAAAATTAAATGATTTAATAAAAAAGAAAAAAAAAAGCATTTGTATTAAATTTAAAAAAAGTATAAATACTTGCAGAAATATTTTCTTCTATCAACCTCTCCAACTGCTTCAAGAGTCCGTCCAAATCACATTTACACCCTTGAATTTTATTAAAATCATTTCTTTTCTTCTAAAATATGAACTTTGATTTAATCTTAAGTTTTTACCATAAGTCTGCAACATATTATACAAAAGTAAGAAAATAATGAAACATATACAGATATGTCTATCGATTAAAAATTTGAAATCAAACTAATTTGAAATGTAACTTTTAATTTCATGATTTTAAAATTAAATTTGTAACTATAGTAAGGAATTGCAAAAAAAAAAGACCAAAATCTAAAAAAAAATTTTTTTAAGTATGCCTAACTAAATAGGGATATTTTTTAAAAGATTATTTTTTTTGTTTTGAAAGGTTGAAATATCATGAAATTCTGAACAAATTTTCCATCTCACACGCATATCATACTTCGTTACAAGCAATATTTTAAAAATCAAACCAGACATCAAACTGAAAAGATTAACAGGTCATGATTCAAACAGTTAGATCGGTTAGACCGTTTGATCGGACCGTTAATATAATAATTAGATAAAAATAATATTACATAAATATGTAATATGTATATAAGAATAAAACATCAAATTTTCAAAAAACACTATAATCTTTGAAATAATTGACAAATTAAATTATAAAGTGATAAAGTGATTTTTTATGATTTTAGATACAGGATGATTAGTAATAAAAAATCAAAAGAATGAAATTAAATATATAAAAATTAATTTTAAAAATACAGTAAATTTTTAAGATGTATGCAGCAGATATGATGTGATCTCACAATTAATTCAATGAGCTTTCTTCAAAGTTAATATTAAAAAATAAAAAAATAAAAATAAATAGTATAGTGGCAAAAACAAATCGATTGGATATATTATATCCACGTTTAACTCATC